AGGGGGAGAGCCATGCCCTGCATGGGGACTTTCGTCTGCTCTCCCGGCTGTGGGAGACTTCACCCTGCTGCCCGAGGGGGTCCCTGAAAACCAGCCCGTGAGGTAAGCTGCTGTGAGGGCAGCACATCCGTGGCCTCGCTGGAACTCAGAGGGCTGGTCCCCCCAGGCACGCCCCTCCCCGATCCCCAGGTGGCCCCCCACACCTGCCAGCACTGGGGCTGGAGAGGGACCCCAGCGTGGAGGGAGATAACGGAATCCGTGGCTTTGTTCTGTGGGTACTCGGGTCAGGGGTAGGGGTGTGGACAGAGCCTCGTGAGCCCCGCACTTGCCCAAGGCACCTCGCTGCATGCTCAGCCCACCTGCCCCTGCCGGGTGAGGAGACACGAGTGTGAGCTCGCTGGTAGTCGAAGGCCCTGGGCCATCGGAGGGTGCTGTAGGCGTCCGTGGGGACAAGAGGCTGAGTGGCAGTGGGGTCCGAGTGGCGGCCGGGGGCAGGGGCAGGACCTTGGGAGGTAGAGCTAGGCCCCCACCTGCCTAAGCTCTCTCCAGCCATGGGGCCTCCATCCCCAGTTGTAAAACAGAGAGAGGAAGAGACAGAAGTCTGGGGTGCAGTATATAAAAGGCCCCAGGGCTGAGCCCGAGGGCCAATGCTGCTGCCATAGCCCGCCTGCAGCAGGGCCCTTGGCAGAGCCCAATCACAGGGAGCCTCCAGGGCAGGCACATGCAGCGCCTGGTGGGCTGGGCTGAGGGTGGGGGGCAGCGGGAAATCCTGGAGTCCGATGCCTGGGGAGCAGTGAGCGCCCCTTCCAGAAGAGCCCGCTGCAGAAACGGGGGCTTCACATACGTGCAAAACGCATTTGGTCAAGACAAGATCAGCGCGTGGTTTTTGCCTTTAACATGAAAGACAAACACAGAAAACCACCAGTAATTACTCTTTAAAATAGTAAACAGCAATATGAGAACACCTCTCTCTCTCTCTCTCTCTCTCTCTCTCAGGATCGAGGGATGAAATACTGGTTTATACAATCCACTGTTGGGTGTTGCCTGGAAATAACACTTTTTGTTAAAAAGATGAAGGAAGGGAGGAAAATCAGAAGAGCTCGAACACTGCTCCAGGGAGCTTGGATTTACCTGCTGGGTGAAGAGTAAACTCGGGTCCATGGGTGTCTTTTAAAAACGTCCAGGTGGGCCTGGCCTGGCCTTCAGCAGAAAGGGGCGTCCGTGGGAAGGACGAGGCCTGCTGGGACCCCCAGAGCCCCGTGTCTCCGGGAGAGTCCTGCAGGGGAGGCCTGGCCCGCCTCGGGCTCTGCCCACCAGGCGCTAGATGGCGAGGAACAATCGCCCCAGGCCGGCCTGCACTGCCGGGCACAGGAGATGTCTGCAGGGTCCCGGCCACAGGGAGCAGGCTGGGCTTCCTGCCCGGTCAGGGCGCCTCACGTGGACTCCAGCCTGTTGAGCGGGAAGAGGTGGTGGCTGGTGGGCGTGGAGAAGTAGAGCTGCCCGCCCGGAGTGCGGTTGTCGCAGGGGTCGCTCAGCGCCAGCGTCCGCTCGAAGTCCAGCAGCTGCCCCATGAAGTTGAAGTTGGGCGAGATGTTGGCCTTCTTCCTCTTGACGAAGTCGTACGCGTCGTTCAGCGAGAGGCTCATCTTCTGCATCAGGTAGGCCACGGTCACCGTCACCGAGCGGCTGATGCCGGCCAGGCAGTGCACCAGGACCCCGCACTTCTTGGAGCGGGCCTCATCTGCAACACAGGGCCCGCATCAGGGGGCTGCGTGGTGGGCGGGCGGGGGAACAGTGGAGGGAGAAGGGGGGGTGCGGCGATGTGGCTATGGAGTGCGGGCGCATTAGTGCACTTCGCTTGGAGCCCCCACCCCCGGTGCCTTGCCTCAGGTTCCTCGTCTTTCTTGTTCCTGTAGTGCTTGCTACCCCGACTGTGGAACCGCCCGCACCTTCAGGGGCCAGCTGCCCGCACCAGGACTCTCCAAAGACACACTACCACCGAGTTGGTGCCCACTCCCAGGGAGCCCCAGGACGGGTGGGCCTGCCCCTGTAGAAAGCCTCTTGCTTCCCGTGGAGTGGCTGGTGGTTTTGAACTGCTGGACTTGGGAACGCAGGCCATTGCACGACCTCTGCACCATCAGCGTGCCTCGGCCGATGAGCCGTTGTGACATAATGGGGAAACGGAAACCAGTAATAAGCCAGACCACATGGAGGCTCCGCCGGACTCAGCCCCTATGCTGCCTGCCTGTGGCCGGGGCGGCACCAAGCTCTGCCCCCCGTAGGTGCCCCCTACGGCTCCTGGAGGCAATGAATCTGGAGGAAGCTGATCCCCAAGGGAGGGGGGAGGGGTGGTAGGGAAAGGGCTGATGTCCCCAGGACCCTGGTGACCCACTGCTCCCAACAGCAGCTGCCGAGAGAGGTGCAGTCACCAATTGGCCTGGGCTGCTGGGTCCCCACCCCTGCTTGGCAGACCTTCCCCAGAGGGCAGAGGGCCAGTGACATCTCCCACCACAGCTGGCTGGCCACCTTCTGCCACCCCTGCCCTTGGCCTCCTCGGCTACTCATCCTCCCAGCATGCTCCTTGGCCATCTGGACTTAGCAGTGCCACCTCCTCCCCTGGGTCAGTGCTGTGCCAGGGGCAATGGCCAGCAAGGGGCAGCCCTGGGACACTTGAGGTCGCCTCCCCACCCTGCCCTAACGGCTAGTCCACTGGGAGCCACGCACCCAGCCAGCACCCGACCCGTGGTCCTCATCTGGGGGGCGAGGAGAGGTCACTGCTTCTGGTCTGGTAGGGCTTCCCTTCCCCATGCCCCTCTCCCCACCCCACCCCCAGTTGGGGGGTCCCTTGGGCTACAGCCAATCAGCGAAGGCCTGGACTAAAGGCTCTGGGGCAGGGCTGGACAAGCCTCCAGTGGTACTGCACTAGGATATGGGGAACGCCCGGCCCCCCACCACCCAGTGTGCGGCTTCCGCTGGCTTTATTTTTAGCCCTCTGAGGTGTGACAACGCAGTGGGGGGGGGACGGGACGGCTGGCACTCAGTCCTCTCCCCACAGCCCTCTGGGTTGCTTGTGCCGGGGTTACTTTTACCTCTCCCCCTGCCTGCACCTCGATGTGCAGGACAAAGGCACCCACGGCCCAAGCCCAGCCCTGGAAAATCACTTCCCCACTCTGCATGCCGGGGGGCGTGGGGTCGGGCCTCAAATGCTGAGGCAGCACCTAGGCCCATGTCCTCGGGCAGGGCAGCCCTGGCCCTGGCCGCAGCCCCTCCCCCCGGGCCTCCGCTTGCTTCCTTCCTTCCTTCCTCCCTCCCAGCCAGGCACCTAGTTTTGGTTCCCAGTAAGCGGATGAGGCGGGGAAGCCTCCCACTTCCTGTTATTAAAGCCGCCGGCCCAGCCACCACCAAAAAGCCCTCCTCCTCCAGATCGCTGCCGGAGAAGGCCGCCCAGCCCAGCGCTGCCCAGAGCTTCCCATTGCCTGAACCTGCCCCCCACCCTGTCCTCACACCCTGGGGTGGGGGTGGGGGCGAGCTGGAGGCCTGGGGAAGGTGACCTGAAAACGACAAGCCAAGGAGACCACAAGAGGGAGGCCAGGGTGGAGGTGGCTTAGAGAGCCCGGGGCCAGGCTGCCCGAGGGAGGAGCCAGGGCCTCGGAGGGCTTTGAGCGGGCCAGCCGGGGCAGCACCCTGGGAAGGCCTTCCTCGACCTTCCCCTGCGTGCCCACCCTGCTCCCCGCAGCAACATAGGCTGCCCAGGAGACTCTGGGGCCCTGCCCAGGCCCCCGGTGGCCACAATCTGACAGCTGCCTCTTGGGGCCGGGCCTCTGGCTCCAGGCCAGCCATCGGTACTGCCCCAGGTCCACAGCGAGGCCCCAGGACAGGAGGCACCGTGACTGGCCCACACTGCAAACCCGTGTGCTGAGGCAGGTGCCCAGCAGACAAGCACGAGCTGGACCACGGAGCCCGGGAGGGGCTGGCGCCTTGGCCGGGGGTGGGTAGGGTGGTGCTCAGGGACGGCTCAAGGCCCCGACAGGCAGAGGGGCCCGCGGGGGCCACAGTGAATCACGGCAGACATGGGTACACCCATGAGCCCATGCTGGTACACACAGGCCCTGACAGGCCTAGAGGTGCCCAGTGGGGCGCAGGTGACACTCTGAATCCTGTGCACACCTGGGCATGCCTGCCTGCCCACCCGCCGCTGAAGGGCACCTACCAATGAAGCTGATGGCCTCGGGGAAGAACTGGGAGAGGTTCTGGCTCCAGTGGTCGGAGATGGGGATCTGCTTGTAGGTGAACTCGCCGCCATGCTCGAAGGCGTTGGGCAGGTTGGGCGTGACGTTGAGGATGTACTTGATGCCGTATTTGCCCAGCACGTCCAGGTTGGTGGAGTCCTTGGCACAGCCGAGGTAGAGGTAGGGCAGGATCTGGACGGGGAAGGCCGGCTGGCTGGACGGCACTGGGCTGCCCTCCGACTCGGTGGCACTGCTGGGCAGTTCTCTGTCGGACTCGCCATCGGAGCAGTCGGAGCTGATGCGCAGGCCGCCCAGGCCCAGCACCGAGGTGGGCGGGGAGCCGCTAGGCGGGGACGAGCTGTCCACGTTGGTCTCGCAGTGCTCCGCGTACTCCGCCTGGAACTTGTTGAAGCCACCTGTGGCCGGGAGTGGTGAGGACCGGTCAGGGGCGGGGGCCAGTGCCACCAGCCAGAGC